AATAAAACGCCTCAATCATTTTCACAATTTCAAATTCTAACCGATTCTTTTCATATAGACAAAAGGCAAGTTCTAATCATTCTAAAATATGACCAATAACTCTCAAGAAGAACAAAAAAAATAAGGATCAAAACCTCACAAGGTAAATAAATATCACTCAAAGTAATCAAGTAAATATCGAGGCAATGATCAATACTTCTTTTATCACAACTTCTCAATTTCATCAAACATTTTTCACCAAATCATATAATTCACCTCTACCATATGCTCAAAACACAAATAACTAAAATACTTGACCGGACCACTACATGAACATGCAAAATCCAAGTAAGTTCCCCCACACTTAAAATAAAGCAATGTCCTCATTGCTCAACACAACACCGAGAAAAGCAATAAAAAGATTTAACAATTTCATGAAATGAACCAATACTAGTTATCAATACATGAAAAGTAACGACGCCAAATTTGTTGTAGCAAATTTCATTTATATGTTTTTATCGAGCACCGAATTGAAAATTCGTTTCCCGAGTCGATCTCAAGGAGAATTCAACCGGATTAAATTGTATACTTATTCAATTAACAAAAATAAAAAGATTTCCTAAACATTCTAATCGCTTTAATTTTGTTTTTAAATATTTATTACTATTATCAATTTAATTAAATGCTAGAAAATTATAAATAAAGTTATAATTAAGTTAATAATGTTAAAAGAGTTAAAAATTATAAAAGAGTTAAGGAATCGGAAAATAATTATTTTCAGTTCTAATGATAATTCCAAATCATTGATTGTTCGGTTAAGTGATTCGATAAACACACTAATTTAGAAGTTCATATTCAATAACTTTTCGTAACAAGAATATAAACATGAATTAATGTATTTTCGTATCAAATAACACATAAACAATACAAGTACGAACAAGCTTACTCGTTTTGAGCCGATATCAATCAACTTCGCCCCTCTCGGTTTAAAAATCAATGAAGTAGATTTAGAAGGTGTTTAATAAACTAAACCATAAAAATAAACACAACTCGAAACGATTGAACAGTCAACATCACGTCATCATCATCGAACCAAAACGATCATTTCCCTATCCCAGGATGATGTGTTAGTTCATAGTGATTTTATCAACATCATCAATAATAACCCAAGCTATCGTCGTACTTATAATAAGTTACGATAACTTGCAATTACTATTGAAAACTTGACGTCAATATATCACTAGAACTTCAACTAACTAATGAAAAATCACTTATAAGATCATGCAAAGATCATGCATGAGAAACCATTCTTGTAAGTGATGAAGAAGAAGGGAAGAAAGGAAAAAAAAAAAAAAACTATTTACAAGTCTTGACATTATAACCTTAATTGTTCATTTACAAGCTTGATTACATCTATCTATAGCTGAGAATTTGGAGTATTTTATAGCTATAAATTAGCTATAGGTATCATGAATCATCATAACATAACATCCCACCAACATGCCATTATCTTCAACATAACATCTGTAGAAATCGACCCCTTAGCGCCGCTAAGGGGTACTAGCCGCGCTAAGGTGTCGACAGCTACACGTCTCCACTATTTTTGCTCGTTCGGGCTCGTTTTAACTCGGAATTTAGTTTCGTTTTTTCCTACGCGTCGCTAAACGAACCCCTCTATCAAATGGTGCAAGCTTCCCACAAATTTCCTGAAAACCTGTTCTCCCGAGACTTCCAACCTACACACAAAAAACTAAAACACGAACGAAAAATACCGGAAAATAAACATAATTCACCAAAATACTTAAAATAATGCAAAATACACAAATAACGATAAAACGACTCTAAAAACAACTAAATGACTCAAAATGGGGGTAAAAGAATAATAAAATAATAA